CATGTCAGCCAGGATGGTCTCGATCTCCTGACCCGTGATCCGTCCGTCTCAGCCTCCCAAAGTGCTGGGATTACAGGCTTGAGCCACCGCGCCCGGCGGGGCCATAATTTTTAAACCTGCCAGTCAGTTAAATTTATTAATTAGATAGTATCATCAACATCTGGTATTGAGGTAGATTTAGAATTGGTAGACTCAGAAAAACAAATGGACTTAAATTTTTCCTTGAACAAAGTGGTTGTTTGACTGATTTAGAAAGTTTATTTTCGAACATTTCAGGATTACAGTAACTATTAGAGTCACAATTCCAGATCAGCAACTCTGTGACTCCTAATGCAGCTGATTAACTTCATTGTAGTACATCGAAAGAAATAAAGAATAATGATTTGATCTTCTTTAGGGGTTTCATGAATCACCAGAAGCCTATTAATTCTCTCATAAATATAGCTTTAGACATTCTGGGTCTTAGAAAGGGAAAGGTAAAAGGTGATCACTTGGTTTTATCAGCTAGTATTTATCTACAATAGCGTTTACCTGATATTTACTTTGAAAAACAAGGAAAACACTATTGTTACTCCCTGTCACTTGTTACTGAAGGAACTGAATTAGAAGGCATTGTAGCTTTTTTAAGCCCAGGTTAAAAATTCATATCGTGTTTCAGATCGCCATGGCTTCCCAGGTCAAGAGCAACTTGAAAAGGTCAATTTTACAATTTTACCCAGCTTTATCCCCACCTGTACTTCACTCCTACATCGTTTAGTAAAAACTGCATTACTTTGAAGTTGAAGGTTGCATTTAGGCAGGCAGAGCAGCTTTACTCCCACCCTGAGTTGGAGCAGATAATGGATTCCGCAGAACAGGTGTCCAACTGGCCAAGGTCATCGCACAATGAGTCAGTGTAAATATCCAAATTGCAGTTGTGGACAAACTCAGCACATGACAGGTGCAGTTGATAAGTGTCCTTTTGTCTAGGTGTCACAGTGGTCTGAGGACACGGAACAAATCAAATGAAAAAGGTTGTGCCTGCCTTAGAAGGTTATGTCTTTACTAATCCTGTAGCAACCAGCAGGCTGGCATTAATCTGTGCAAATCTCTGCTCTGGTGTGTTTGGACGATTTTGTTTTTCAGGAGCTATTTGTTCAGGGGAAACAAATGGAAAGTGGAAAGATGAAGTCAGTTTTCTCGTGACGTTTTCAAGGATGAATACTTGTGAAGGACAAGCAGGCAATCTCTTCTTAGAAAAAGTCAATCCAGAGAACCTAGAAGGTCCTTCAGAGTGGCAAATAGAAGATCGCAACTTGAAGGAAAACACGAGTAAGAAAATCCGAAGACTCAGCCCATGAGAAAGAAGAGAAACTATAATTTCTAATATATTACAAATTCATGGTTCTCAGCACTGCACTTAAGTTTCAACCTCAGACAATGCCTAAAATTCAAAGGCATCAGATATATGTGAGGTGGGAATGATTGCTCACAGAAAATGGATTTAAGTTTCTAGAATTAAAAAAAACAATCTAGTTGATGAGATGAAACAAATTTAGAAAGATACAGGACCAAGGTGCATGTATTAAAGCTAGTTTATAGCACTGCTTATTTCCTAGATGAAAAGGCTAAGATAATGTTAAATACTTTACTCAAAGTTAAATCATAGAAAGTAAATGAGTGTAAACTTGTTTATTTATATCCCAGTGTAATGGAAGAGTCAGCAAACATTTCTGAAAACAGCCATGTTAAGAAAGCAAAATAACTCTCTTACAGACTTAGAACAGAGTGTACATATTAATATTGGTTCGTAGAATTTTGTCCCCACTTCAGAAATGAGAAGGGTGAAGTTAAATGACTTGTTTAATGTTATTCTGTCAGAGTGGAAGAACCCAAATTCAAGGCCAGGTCTTTTGACTGTTAACCCACTTTTCCTGTTACTTTACCACAGTCCTTGTAGCACTCTGAGTAGCAAAACAGGCCTCCAGAAAATGCTGAGTCTAACAAGGCCTACTACATTGTCCTCCTTCCAGGGTCAGTGCAGCGATAGCTGGGTAGGAGTGCTTGGCCTGCACGTTGACAGTGGGAGCCATAGCCTTCTCTCTCTCTCTCAAGGTACAGTTTGCCAACAAATATATTTTTTGAGCACCTACTATGTGTCAGAAATCATTCTAATTACTGGGATACCATACAGAGTGACAGATTCCTTGCCCTCAGAGGACTTTTATATTAGTGGAGGAGACACAATCAGTAAGCATTGAACAACTAAATACATCACATCAGGTATTGGGAAGAAAATGAAATCGTGACTAGCTCTGGCAACATAAGGAAGGGACTAAGGTCAGCTGGGTTTTTCAGCTAGTCTGGTTGGTGGGTTCATTAAGCCACTGATCTCAGTACCTGTGTGGCACTTGAGGGTTGAGGCTGTATGACGAGTGAAGACTGCCACAATACTGCTGAAGCAGTAATGACGATACCCCAAACAGTAGCTTGAATACTGGAAATGACAAATAGTGAAATAGCCCATGAAACAACATTGCCAATACATAATATTGTGTGAACCAGGTGACCCATCCAGTGTTTAGAGTCTGGGCCAAGAAATGTGGACATACAAAAAAAGTAGGATAAAATCTTCTGGGTGGAAACTATGTGTGTGTGGCTTCCCTAGGAGGGACAGAACTGTGGCAGTGCTCGTACAGGAACACCTCCTAACCCTGAAGTTATTCCACGTTGTCCTAAAATGGTTGATACATCCACCACTTACCATGTAACAAACATTATTATAAACACTTTACACAAATTAACCCATGTCTAAAAATTACCTCACAGACACTGTTGTGCATGTTTGACAAATGAAGAAACTGAGGCACAAACAGCTTAAGTAACTTTCCTGTAATAGGCTCAATAATGTCCAAAGATGTCCACGCCCTAACCCTTAGAACCTGTGCATTTGTTAACTTATGGAATGAAAAGGCCTTTGCATATGTGATCAAGTTAAGAATTTTTGGATAGAGATACTATCTTGGATTATCTGAGTGGGTCCATTATAATCACAAAGATTCTTATAAGAATCAGAGAAGGGGATGGAAGCAGAGGCCAGAGTTAAGTGATCAGATGTTAAGGAGCTTAGGCAGCTTCAAGAAGCTAGAATAAGCAAGGAAATAGATTCTTTCCTACAGCTTCCAGAAGAAATGTCACCCTGATTTTAGCTCAGTGAAACTGATTTCAGACTTCTGGCTTCCAGAATTATAACATAAAAAATCTGTGTTGTTTGTGTTGACTTAAGCCACTACATTTGTGGTAAGCAAAGCAGCAACAAGGAAACTAATACATTGCCCAAGGTTACGATGCTACAAAGTGGCAGGGCGAGGATTAAAACTGAGGCGATCTAGTGCTAGTTACAGGGATTTAACCACTGTGTTATTTAGGGCCTCTCGCAGGCAGAATAAAATTTCACCCTGCAAGCAAAATGGGGGTCTCCTAGGTTTTCCTCTTATGCTGAGAATTCCAGGTCCTGGAGAAGAAGAAAAAGAGAAAGAAAGAGAGAGAGAGAGAAGGAGTGAGAGAGGGAAGAAGGAAGGAAGGAAGGAAGGAAGGAAGGAAGGAAGGAAGGAAGGAAGGAAGGAAGGAAGGAAAAAAGCAAAAACAGAAAGAGGGAGGATGGGAGGGAGGGAAAAAGTAAAAATGATTCTACACCAGCTGGTATATACCAATACCCTTCCCTGCCCCATGTCTTCACAGCTGTGTGGCAAGTGAAGACCAATGGATCCAGGCTTCCTGATGCTTGTATTTATCATGATTCACTTAGGAAGGGTGGGGAAAGAAATGCTAATTACACACTTACCAATGGAATACTTTTACAAGGATCAAAATTTCTCGCTGCAGCCATGAAAAAGAATGAGAGCTGGCGGCCATTATCCTTAGCGAAATAACGCGGAAACAGAAAACCAAATTATCACATGTTCTCACTTGTAAGTGGGAGCTAAATAAAGAGATCACATGGACACTAGGAGGGGAACAACAGACACTGGAACCTACTTGAAGGTGGAGGGTGGGAAGAGGGAGAGAATGAGAAAAAATACCTATTGAATACTATATTACCTGGGTGACGAAATAATCTGTACACCAAACCCCCGCGACAAGCAATTGACTTATATAACAACCCTGACATATACTCCTGAACCTAAAAGTTAAAAGAAAAAAAAAAAAAAACCATATACTAAAATGAAAACGATTCTCACTGTAACAATATTATCCCCTCGTGATTATTATATTCCTAAGTTTTAGGCACTTTTACATCCTGCTCGCTGCCCCCAGCTCTCTTAACACAGCATCCAGGACATAGTGGGCGCTTATAAATACTGATGGAATTAAACTGAGCGCTTATGCTAGCATATTTAGACCAGTGCTTTTCAAACGTCAAGGTGCATGTGAATCCCTGGGGACACCGTTAAAATGCAGATTCAGAGTTAGAAAGTCTGGTTGGAGCCTGACATTGGGCATTTCCACCGAGTTCCCATATGATGTTTGTCTATGTTCTGTATTTTTCAAGGTCTCAGAAAATGAGACCTCCCTATCCATATACAAATATGAGTCTCACAAACTGTGAAAATTTAATGAAAGTTTACAAAGAGCATAGAAGTAGATGTTTCCTCTTTTCCCCTACCCTCCCAATAAAGGGAACAAATTAGATGCGAGGGTTCAATGGAAAGAGTTGCAACAGCATCCAGGCGCTCGCTCTCCTCCGGTCTTCCTGAGAGACAGGGAAAGGGGTAATGAGAGGAAGGAGGGAAGTGTCCAGGAGCTCCCACGCTGCTGTTCCTCTTCCATTTTCAGCTTTTAAAGAACACCCGCCCCTTCGAACCACCGAGGTCATGGGCGAATACACCGGAGCGCAGCACCGCGCCCCCCCTGCCCGCCTCCGCGCCCTTGCCCAGACCGAGGCGGCCGACGCGCCTGCGTGCGCGCTAGGTATAAATAGGTCCCAGGAGGCAGCCACTGGGCAGAACCGGGCTGCAGGAGCCGCGGGCCATGGCGGGCGAGAACCACCAGTGGCAGGGCAGCATCCTCTACAACATGCTTATGAGCGCGAAGCAAACGCGCGCGGCTCCTGAGGCTCCAGAGACGCGGCTGGTGGATCAGTGCTGGGGCTGTTCGTGCGGCGATGAGCCCGGGGTGGGCAGAGAGGGGCTGCTGGGCGGGCGGAACGTGTCGCTCCTGTACCGCTGCTGCTTTTGCGGTAAAGACCACCCACGGCAGGGCAGCATCCTCTACAGCATGCTCACGAGCGCAAAGCAAACGTACGCGGCACCGAAGGCGCCCGAGGCGACGCTGGGTCCGTGCTGGGGCTGTTCGTGCGGCTCTGATCCCGGGGTGGGCAGAGCGGGGCTTCCGGGTGGGCGGCCCGTGGCACTCCTGTACCGCTGCTGCTTTTGTGGTGAAGACCACCCGCGGCAGGGCAGCATCCTCTACAGCTTGCTCACTAGCGCAAAGCAAACGCACGTGGCTCCGGCAGCGCCCGAGGCACGGCCAGTGGGCGCGTGGTGGGACCGCTCCTACTTCGCGCAGAGGCCAGGGGGTAGAGAGGCGCTACCAGGCGGGCGGGCCATGGGGCTTCTGTACCGCTGCTGCTTTTGCGGTGAAGACCACCCGCAGCAGGGCAGCACCCTCTACTGCATGCCCACGAGCACAAATCAAGTGCAGGCGGCTCCGGGGGAGCGGCCGAGGGCCCCCTGGTGGGACACCTCCTCTGGTGCGCTGCGGCCAGTGGCGCTCAAGAGTCCACAGGTGGTCTGCGAGGCAGCCTCAGCTGGCCTGTTGAAGACGCTGCGCTTTGTCAAGTACTTGCCCTGCTTCCAGGTGCTGCCCCTGGACCAGCAGCTGGTGCTGGTGCGCAACTGCTGGGCGTCCCTGCTCATGCTTGAGCTGGCCCAGGACCGCTTGCAGTTCGAGACTGTAGAAGTCTCGGAGCCCAGCATGCTGCAGAAGATCCTCACCACCAGGCGGCGGGAGACCGGGGGCGACGAGCCACTGCCCGTGTCCACGCTGCAGCCCCATTTGGCACCGCCGGCGGAGGCCAGGAAGGTGCCCTCCGCCTCCCAGGTCCAAGCCATCAAGTGCTTTCTTTCCAAGTGCTGGAGTCTGAACATCAGTACCAAGGAGTACGCCTACCTCAAGGGGACCGTGCTCTTTAACCCGGGTAAGGGTACTGGCCTTGGGCGCCGGCTTTTCCCAGCTCACAAAAGCATCAGGCAGTGCCTATCTAGGGGCGCGGGCAGTAAGGAGTTTTCAGTGATCAGGAGAGTGTCGGGACAAAGGTGAAGAAATCATGACTAACTCAGCAGAGTTGGGGTGGGGGGCTCCAGGAACCACTTCTCCTGAGTGGGCAGCTGTCAGAAACTCAGCCAAGAGGAGGGGAGTTGTTTGTTTAGGTTTGTACTTAGCTCTTTACACGTTTCTTACTACAGAAAAGTTTGTGCCTTCATGGGAAATGGTTATTCTTTCTTTAGCTTTCTTTGAAGTCCAGAGCATATCTTTTTCTAAAAAAAGTTTTTGCTCACTGAAGATTCTGCGACATCGATTTCTGAAACTCCATTCTGAAATTTACTAGAACCTTTTTTTGGGGGGAGGAGATCTATTAGGGCTAGCAAAAAAGGAAACATTTGTTAAAGGGTCCCATAGAGAGACTATTCCCTAGGGACACTGTCAGACAGTACACTGGATGTAGTGTTTCATAGGCCTGCCTCTGAATGGTTATTTGTATGGTCCTAAGCATCTGGACTATCCCTTCCTCCAAATCTCTGTGAAGAATATCAGGTTGGCAAAGGGATAAGAAAAAAAAAAAAAAAGTCACTTTAGGGACTGAGAGCAGGAACACTGTATTTTAGAATTCAAAGAGACTTTAGAGACCTCCTAATCAACCCCCTTTGCTCTGTAACCTTCCCCCACCGCATTTTACTGTGTAGGTGGATGTGTCCCAAGGTCCCAAGTGACCTTACTCCAAAGTAAATGGCTGGTGTGTTGTGGCACCTGAGGGTCCTATCTTCTGGGCCCTGTGGGATGTCGGCTGCACCAAACTTTCAGGTTGTCTGTTGGGTGCAGGACACACTGTCCCACAGGGTGCAACCAAATCACTGGGGGAACATCTCCCTGGACAGCCAGGCACCTTGTCTTGGGTGTTTCTCTCTACTAGAATCATCTTCAACCAGCGTCCTTTTGAAATGATTGAAGTGGAAAAAAATTTTCCAGGCAACTTGAGTTGGGATAGTTTCCATAATGCTCCTTTTGTATCTTTTCCCTGGTGCTGGAATCTCTGATTATGTCCTGGCCCCCTGCCTAGCATTTTTGAGAGTGCATAATATATATAAATATATTTAATATATATATTTAATATATTTAAATTTATGATATGGGATATACAAAAGACAAACAGCAAAGAGAGGCCACAGTCTCAATAGGCGTTACCTTTCTCCCCAATATAGGTACATTTGAGTTTCAAACACACTCAGCTTAGCTGGTTAAACTCATACTGAGAAAGGATTAGGAAAAGTCAATCAAGAACAAGGAAGAAGTGTGCGTGTGTGTGTGTCTGTGTGTGTGTGTGTGTGTGTTAAAAGTATATAAAACAGGGTCAAGGGAAAGAGGGAAACTATTGATACTGAAACTAATGGAATGTAAATTTCTGGAAGGTGAGCCCCTTTCACCTTTATATCCCAACAGGACAAGGAACGTAGTGGATGATTAATAATACTAGCTGAAGGAATAAGAAGACTGTTTTCCAAAGTATCTTGAGAATCATCTGTGACCCTTATTATGAATGCAGATTTGCAGACACTGGGCTAGAGCTACTGAATCAGAATCTATAAGGCAGGAGCCTAGAAAGACTTTTATCTACTCCCTCCCACCCCCAACTACACACACACAAGTACTTCTTATGCACAGGCAAGTCTGGAAAACAATGGTATAAGCAAAAAGGTAACATATAATAGACACTGGGGTGAGCTGAGGTCTCTATGTCATGAAACGTGAGGTTTGAACGAATTATTATCCCACCAAATACACACACACACACGCACACTTCTTCCTTGTTCTTGATTGACTTTTCCTAATCCTTTCTCAGTATGAGTTTAACCAGCTAAGCTGAGTGTGTTTGAAACTCAAATGTACCTATATTGGGGAGAAAGGTAACGCCTATTGAGACTGTGGCCTCTCTTTGCTGTTTGTCTTTTGTATATCCCATATCATAAATTTAAATATATTAAATATGTATATTAAATATATTTTTATATATTAAATATATATTATATAATATATATTTAATATATTAATATATATTAAATATATATTAATATATTTATATATTAAATATATTTATATATTAAATATATTAAATAAATATATATTAAATAAATATATAAATATATATTAAATATATATATTAAATATATATATGGGTTGTCTTTTGTATATCCCATATAATAAATTTAAATATATATATATATATATATATATATGTATATGGGTTCAAAGTTAAGGAGATATAAAACTGTGGAGTCCATTTGCGTTTTCTCTGCCCTGACCTTATTTTGAAGGCCAGTTTGTGTGTGTCTGTGTTGGGGGGAACCACTTGGGTGGGGAGAAGGTAAAGGGGTATATTGTGAACACAGAGAGAAGTAATGTGGCATTCACAAGATGAAGTTTCCACAAGTCATGAATCTAGACCTAGAGAAGCTTCAGATTTCTGGTGGTGTTTCATGCAAGCCTCTTCCTACTTTCGTCGACGGAATTCAAACAAAACGAAATTGGGTCTTAAGCCTGGATCTCAAGTGGTAGGTAGTAGGGGATGATAATGTGTGAACTAAGGTAATCAGAATTGGAATATGGATTAAAATTCTTGCTTTAATTTTGTTCTTATTTTATTTATGAGATTTGATATTTGCCTGTAATAGGAGTGCCTCTTGCCTATTACCATTAGTATATTTTTTTAAGAACACCGGTTCTGCTGCTCTGTGGTGATTGGCATGGTGTCTTTAAAATACTTTTCCATTGAATTTTTTAGGAAAAGGGAAGGAAAATGATTACAATCATCATTAGCATCATTTAAACCAAGTGGTCAACTGCTAATTACTTGAATACAAGTTAAAGAACTTTGCAATGATATTATTATCATGGAAGATCAAAGGACCTTCAAAAGCAGCCTCCTCTTATTACTTTCCTTATAAAAACTTACATGCTCTTAAACTTTCCTGCATTGTATTTCATTCACTTTTCCTTAGGTATCACACTATACTGCAAAAGGTCATGTGTTTTCAATTACAAAAGTTATTTTTGAATCATGGTGCAATTCGTGATGTTTTCATGTTTACTTTTTAAACTTTTTTTTTTTTTTTTTTTTTTTTTGAGACGGAGTCTCGCTCTGTCGCCCAGGCTGGAGTGCAGTGGCCGGATCTCAGCTCACTCCGCCTCCCGGGTTCACGCCATTCTCCTGCCTCAGCCTCCCGAGTAGCTGGGAGTACAGGCGCCCGCCACCTCGCCCGGCTAGTTTTTTTTTGTATTTTAGTAGAGACGGGGTTTCACTGTGTTAGCCAGGATGGTCTCGATCTCCTGACCTCATGATCCGCCCGTCTCGGCCTCCCAAAGTGCTGGGATTACAGGCTTGAGCCACCGCGCCCGGCCTACTTTTTAAACTTTTAATGACTATAAGAATGTTCAAAAACTTCTTACTCTGATATTTTTGAAAAGAGCCTTTTCGAATATTCATAAGAATCATTCTTTTATTTTTTTCAAAACCTTCCCCGATACAGAAATCATGGTACAATGAGCTAAGTGGCTATTGTTAGCTTTCAAATTATTCGGGGCCTCTAAACTAATATTGGCCTGCAGCCAAAGAGGTAAAATGAAACTGTGTGTCAAAGTTTGTGGCTATGAAGTTTACCACCATTGGCTGAACGATCAGTATAATGGCGGGAAGTTCAAAGAAGAATGGTAAAAGCATTTGTCATCTGGCAACGCTTCTTGTTTCTCATGGCTTGTTTCTCATAGGTAAAGTGCCCACCTCTTGAAATATCATGAACTTCTTCATATTTGCATAGAAAGTGAACTGGAGTGATGATTCATTAAACTATATTCTACTGTCATATTAAATTGTGTGCATTTGTTGGCTCATGGCCAGTGTATTTGCAAACGTGTGCATACAAACATAGTGAATATTAAGTAAGAATGATCACATGATGTTTCATTCTTGGACATGTTGCTTCTGAAAACTTAGACTGGTTTGGCATTTTACCCTTTTAACCAGGAAGCTTGGGGTCTTTTTTAATTGGGACGAAACAGAAATGGGCATTTTTAAAAAGCTATCTAAGGACTCTGTGGTGAGCTGTTTTATAACAAAGAGATTTTTCTCCCTCCAGACGTGCCGGGCCTGCAGTGCGTGAAGTACATTCAGGGACTCCAGTGGGGAACTCAGCAGATACTCAGTGAACACGCCAGGATGACGCACCAAGGGCCCCATGACAGATTCATCGAACTGAATAGTACCCTTTTCCTGCTGAGATTCATCAATGCCAATGTCATTGCTGAACTGTTCTTCAGGCCCATCATTGGCACAGTCAGCATGGATGATATGATGCTGGAAATGCTTTGTACAAAGTTGTAAAGGCCTGTGGGCCACACAAATGCAGTAGTGCAGTTCACCATGAGGGAAGAATAAAGAGCTGTGGGCAAAAGAGTGTAAAATATTTTAAAATAAACTTTCTTATTATTTTTACATGCAGAGTATTTTGTATTCAATTAAAGAAATACTTTTATTCCAGACAGTTATAAATTTCTCTGTTCCATAGTTAAAGAAGACATTTGCCAACAGGTAACATATCTCTGTACATCTTTTTAAAAATAGCAGGGTACTACTATAATAAGCTATTTTCACAAGTGTAGCAATTTCAGGGAACCTACTCAAATCAAATTTGTACATATTGTTATAATAAATGTTAAGGTCTTAACCATTAACTTGATTGAAAAAGGTTTCAGCAGGGTTTAAGTAAGGCTTCAAAAACTATTAAAACTAGCCAACATAAGCAAAAAGTATCTTTGGAAGTAACATCATGACATTGAATGTAATTATGTGCCAGTATCAGTGGCAGGTCACTTTGCTCTATCTTCATTTCCACTTCCATCAGCCATGTGGAAGACTGCGTTTGCATCCAACTGGAGTCAAGAAGCAATCTGTAATTATAAAGACACATGGAAGTGAAAGAGATTTTCAGCTTTTTGGGGTATCTTTTTTGTGCACAGTTATGGATTTAAAGTTTCACAAGGAACATACATTCTATAACGAGGGGTTATAGTTCCAGAAAGCTCAACATCATTATGAAACCACTAATTATGCTTCATCTTTTAGATACATTATGTTTGTAACTGGTATATTGAACAAGCATGGCATGAAATCATAAAGCAACTTTATTGTTGACTCCTGCTGCCCCTTTAATTATCATCCATAGAACTCGTTTTTCTTTGTCTCCAGATAAAATTTAGGCTACTATATGTCTATTTGTTTATGGGCAATAAATTGCCTGTTATTAATGAGTATATCTAGTCTAGAGTAATAACCCATTGCAGGAAGTCTTAAACTTCCTTTTGTGCAGACCCCTTTGGCAGTCTGTTGAATCCTATGGATATTTTGTCGAAATCAGGCTCTCAGAGGAATGCAGTAGGGCTGAAGAAAGCGTCATGATAGTCACAGCACACACACACACACACACACACACACACACACACACACATAATCCCTGAGGGCTCATGTGGTCCCCTGGAAACAAAGAGTTAAAAATGTTAGGGCACCCCAGCAGGATATGCATCGGTCAGGCAGCCCCCAGTGTGGCCTCCCACCGAGGTGCCTCCTGCCCCAAGGTATTCAGTCCAGTAAAAGTAATTCAGTTCAGCCCCCGGTTTTAGAGGGGCTGCCTGGGGCTGTCAGTCTCAAATAGTTCTGTCACTGACACTACTTCATCTGCCTGGTGAGTGTAGATGGCATCTGGACACGTTCTGCGGGGACATGCAGTGGAAGCTGGCCCTCTGCTGCCAGCTCATAGTCACCCTGTCCCGTGCCATCTAGGCTCAGCCCTTGGTCTGAGTCCAAAGCGCCCGCAGCACTTGCAAAAGCAGCGCAAGAGTTTTCTTCGAAAAGAGGGGAAAGCTTCCAGAAGCAGTTCCAGAAAGCAAAAATCATTAATGCCCTACCTCCTCCCCTGAGCCTTCCCTGGTGTCAGGGTTGTTTTTCTCGACTGTTACAAAATCAATGTGTCCCATTCAATAATCCCAGCTTTACAAATTTTCCTAATCACTTCTTTTTTCACCCAGACCTTCTGGAAGGATTGTGTGTAAGGGGGACAGAAGCATTATCACAGAGTAACGTTTTAATACAACTTAACCAGAAAGACACATCATGTTCAGGAAGCGGTCAGGGCAAAATCCTGATTTTCAATATTTTTTCAAAATGGGTTTACATACCACCCCCCATGCCTTTTTCCATGATCATTTATTTAGTGAACACCTAGCAAAAATCAATCCTTTTCTGAGGACGCTGCATTGGATGATCAAACTGCCTTACTAAGGTGTGTACAACAGGAGAAAGGCAAGGGAAGTAAAGGCAGGCTATCAGTCCATTGTTGCAAACTGCAGCTAACCTGGAAAGTGGAACATAAGTCAATAGCCATGAGACGTCCCTGAGAGTCTGATGTATCAGGGGTGGGCAGAGGGGTCACATACCCTGTGGTGTGCCCCTTCCTAAATTGCAGCCTTCGGCTAGAATCACAAGTTAGGAACGCAATCAGGCTGTTGTATCCCATATCAGAAATATCGAGTCCATCAGCAGCTCCATTTCTAATGGTCCCATCAGAGAACAAGCCTTTTTCTCTAGGGCATCTGCAGGTGACCCAGATGGTCAGCTAGCATCCATGATGTTTTATAGCTGTGACCCCGCAGGGATGTCTTAAATTTGTGGCAGTTCCAGAGACTGAGCTCTGTTCATTGAGCTTGTGTGGACTTTCAGTTCAGCACAGCTCAGTGCTGAAAATGAAACAGGCTATAACCGGCAGTATCAGGTTTCAGTCAGGTCCAGGGAATTAGGATCTGTGAATTCAGTATTCAAAAAAGCTAGAGGCTTTTCTTCAGCAGCAGCAGCAAAGCTAAGACGCTGTAGGCCAGATACCTGTGTTTCAAGTCCAAGTAACAGGCAAGGCTGTTCCTAAGGACTTTTTACCCTGTTAGGCCAGATTGTTCAAAATGACCCATGCAAAAATATGCATGTCAGGCTAGAAAATCATCAGCCTCTAAGGGTCAGAAATCTGATTTAACAAGAGCTTATTGGCAAAAGCAAACAAAACCCCACAACTCCCTAACCCCTGAAACCTGCTTTGAAAACCCCAAAAGCGTGTCTTCATTTGGAGATTGGCTCCCTTTTCCAGAGGCTCCAGTAGGCATAATTTTGGCAAATAAAATAAAATAAATTATCCGTTACTGAGCCTTGTTTCCAATACCAAGAGTATAAATTCCAATCTGCCCACCTGTGGCAAAAAAGCAAGGGAGCTGTGTTTCATTAACACTTTTTTTTTCCTTTGCAGCTTTTCCTGATTGAAATGACCCTTCTAGCATTTATGAAATTATAAGCACATAACATTGCACATCAATTTTCATCAGACATCCACATGCAATAGCCACAAATGCAAAGCTGTGAATTAAAATTCCTGTTTTTTTCTTATTACGAGTTTACTAAAATCCCTAGCAGTAAATTTTCCATTTACAGAGTTCACATCACAGCTGCCAGGAGAACCCAGCTGGGATGGAAGGGAAAGGGAGGGGAGCAGCAGCAGCCAGGCTGGAGAAATAGCTAAGTGGGTTTCCCTCTCTTCCTTCTTCCCTCCCTCCCTCCCTTCCTCCCTTGCTCCCTTTCTCCCTCCTTTCCTCTCTTCCTCCCTTCCTCCCTTTCTCCCTTCCTCCCTTTCTCCCTTTCTCCCTTCCTCCCTTTCTCTCTCTCCCTTTCTCTCTTCCTTCCTTTCTTCCCTCCCTCCCTCCCTCTCTCTCTCTCTCTCTTTCTTTCTTTCTCCTCTGCTTTATCTAAATCCTTGCTCCAGCCCTGGAAACAGACTTAATTCTTTTTTTCTCTCTACTTGGAAGAGAGAACAACTACAAACTACATTTTATGATATTTGGCACATCCAAAGCCCATTGTACAGAATGTTTGGGCCCTTTTTCCTCCTGCGAGGGTGTTAGGGAGGGGGAGAGACTACAAAAAAAACAAAGCTATCATCACCTAGGCTATGTTACTGTTTCCTATCCCACCTCGCCCCACTTACTTCAGCACAGCCAACTCTGTATGGTCAAAAGCACCTAGCAGATCCAGAGAGCCAGCCCTCCTGGGATGAATCTACCCTTTCCAAATTCAATAGGTAACTTTTTACCTCTGATCACAGACAGCAGCTCAGTTGCTGTTTCATATTATGGTTAACTCCATAGCCACCCAAGTACCAGGGTTTCATAATTCCCTGCCCTTCTCTCTTTCTTTTCCCCAAATAATACTGCAGCTAGATTTCGGTGAATTGAGGTCATTCTAGCAAATCTCACCACTGCCACCATTGTGTCGTCGTTCCCAAGACCACTCTCGTATTCAGATATTTGCTAAAACGTCTCACAGCACTCCACAGGTACTTGTACTCACAGTTGTACATTATGGCGATATACTAAGAGTATAAGGCTGGGTCATAGGGAGAAAACACACAGGCCTCCATATGCAGGCCACTTTACAGTCTCTTCCTCCCATGAGGGGTCATAAAGGATATACTCTTTCCCCAGCAATAAAAACTCAGCAACATGTGTGTGATTATTTCTGCTCAGGGAAACCCTTTTTAGATTCCACCCTTAGGGCTTTTATAGAGAGCTGGTCACGTAGGTACCCTCTACCTAGCACGTACCAAAATTCCAGACACACAAAAAGGAAGTAGGTGCTCGGTATGAACTATGTTGTTTGCACAAACTGTCCAGGCACAGTGAGTCGCCCCTATGAGTTAGGGAAGGTTGAGAACACTCTCAAAATTGAAGTTCCCAGATGCCAGCCAAAAAACTAACCTTCTGAGCAGGCCATCCTAAGGATAGCAGTCTCAGACCTACTACGTTAACTCTTTTCTGCACAGGTACTGCCAATATTACTGTGTCGTGTTGCCTGCATTCATAATTAAAGGAGAGGCTACATTTCAGTTAGAAGCTCATGAAGACATATGCGTAACTATTTTTTTCCCATTCAAGTTCTTGAAACCCCTGATTTCTATCCACAGGCTTCTCAAAGCCAGGGGTTCATTGATTATTGACTCAGTTCCTCTAAAAGTTAATAGCTAAATTTTTCCCAGTCTGAGACATTCCCACTTTAACTGCCTACAGTGGGACAGAGGGGGCTTCTAATCTCTCCTCACTTTGCACTTCTAGTCCTACTTCCATATCTTGTTACTTACATTTGCAGATACCCACAGGGTTGAAAGGTATCAAGGAGAAAGAGGCAAGGGGAGCAGAAGAGTTCTTACCTCACTGATGCTGATCTTGTAGTTTTCTCTGGTCTGGCCATGACAAATGTTGAAAGTTGTCTCTTCTCATGGGTGCTTTCAGAGATAATTTGGAGATCTTCCTCTACACTCCTTCACCCTAGATCTCTTGGGATCTCTCTCCAGAAACTCCTTCTATACCACTAGTTTATATCTCCTTCCTCATTCCCCAGACATCTGTCTCTCTCTCTCCCTTTCTTTCTCTCTCTCTCTCTCTTGCTCGCTC